GTTGTAAACGAAGAGCCTGAGCCTCAAGTTACGAGGAGGTCAGAAAGAGATCGAAGACCACCTGCCTACTATGGAGAGTGGGCAACAGCTGCAAATCATGATAAAAACGAGCCAAGGACCGTGAAAGAGGCTTTGTCAAGTCCACAAAAGACAAAATGGGTGAAAGCAATGGAAAAAGAAATGGAATCCCTTAAAACTAACGAAGTATGGAACCTAGTTGAACTGCCTGAGAATCGTAAAGCCGTTGGCAGCAAGTGGGTATTTCGAGTTAAAACAGATGCGGACGGAACAGTTGAAACACACAAGGCCCGGCTCGTAGCTCAAGGTTTCAGTCAAACATTTGGTGACGACTATGATGAAACATTTTCACCTGTAGCTAGGTTTGAATCAGTTCGAACAGTTATTGCGTTAGCTGCACAGCATGGTTTAAAGCTTCATCAAATGGACGTCACAACAGCATTTCTGAATGGAGATCTCAAAGAAGAAGTCTACATGAAACAAACGGAAGGTTTCATTGAGAAGGGAAAAGAACACCTGGTCTGCAGGTTACGTCGAAGTATATATGGCCTTAAACAGTCTCCACGTTGTTGGAACTCTGTTCTCGACAGAAAATTGAAGAATATGGGCTTTGTACAAACCACCGGTGATCCATGTATCTATGTAAAGGAAGAAGGTGGAGAGATATTCATTATTGCTGTGTATGTTGATGATATTCTCCTGGCCGGAAAGAATGATCAGAAAATCAACGAAGTGAAGCAAGCACTCGCTGAGCAATTTCAAATGAAAGATATGGGTCAACTACACTACTTCCTGGGTGTGAAAGTTATCCCGAAACCAGATTCAAAAGAAATTTGGATTGGCCAAGAAGCGTACACGAAGAGTGTGTTGGAAAGATTTGGCATGGAAAGTTCGAAACCAGCAAGCACACCTGTTAACCCTGGGACAAAACTGAAGAAGGCAGCAGACGACAGTCAACGAGTGGACCAAGTTAACTACCAGTGTGCCGTTGGACATCTACTTTATCTGTCCACGAAAACAAGACCAGACATCGCATATGCCGTGAGCGATGTAGCAAGGTTCAGTGCTGATCCAACGGAGGAGCATTGGATTGCTGTTAAACGTATCATGCGTTATCTGAATGGAACTCGAGATATGGGTTTACTTTATGATGGAAGCAAGACAACGACTTCATGTGTTGGGTATTCAGACGCTGACTGGGCTGGAGATCTTGATGACAGAAAGTCAACTTCGGGATATGTCTTCCAGATAAGCAACGCAGCTATCAGTTGGCGAAGCAAAAAACAGTCATGTGTGGCTCTCTCGACTGCTGAAGCAGAATACATGGCATTGGCAAGTGCAACCCAAGAAGCAGTTTGGCTACAACAACTTCTAAGTGATCTAAAGAGCAAACCAACCGGTCCAATGTTGATACTTGAAGATAATCAAGCAGCAATCTGTATGGCAAAGAATGCACAGTACCATGGACGTGCAAAACACATTGATATAAAGTATCATTTTATTCGAGAACATGTTGCTAGTGCTGCAGTTAAACTGGAATACTGTAGCACTGAAGAAATGATCGCTGACATTTTTACTAAGGGACTAAGTGTGGTTCAGTTTACCAAACTTAGAAAGATGCTCGGAGTTAGTTATAAATGAACATACAGTTATACGAGTGAGCAGGAGTGTTGAAAGTATACACTCGTAAACTTTATATAAGATAAACATTACGGACTTCCGGTTTGTTTTTATTAGTTAAGTGGTCACGTGTTTAATTGGAGACCATGTTGGTTGTCGTGTTTTTTTTATGAAAAACATCGAACAGTGAACTCTCGTTGATATTGCTTTGTTAACAAATAGTTTTTATATTCTTTTAAATTAAATCATTTCAAAACTTTGACTAGAACCTCTTCGACAAAGCATCAGCTCTCGAACACATATATGCATGAGTAGATACATTTACTGTACGCTTAGCGTACCTAGTTTTCGTATTTCTGAAGATGATTCTGTAATAACAAAATTTGATTCTGTCATATTTAGGTAGCTGGAATGGTGGCATTCTACGCTGTGACAAAAGGAAAACATCCCTATGGACAGGAACCTGACCAAAAACGCAACTTACTTGATGGTAGACCAGTTGGTTTGGTTAATTTGCAAGATCCTGCCGCAAAAGATTTGATATCTTGGATGCTCAGCCACGATCCCAAAGACAGACCGTCGGCTGAAGAAGCGCTGAAGCACCCCTATCTTCAACCTGCGGAACAGCAGTTTGGAATGCTGAGTGAAATGGGAAACCAACACGAGATCAAGAAATGGCGTGCCAATTCAAATGTCAAGACAGAGTTGAATAAACTTCCCAATGTTTGGCAGGATCAGATGGATCCCGACGTTCTGCAATATTTATGCACTGATGTTGTGACGAGAGTAACACATCGTTATGGCTCATCCTGGTCTGAGTTGTTGCGACTTATCCGAAATGTTAACCAACACTGGCATGACATGCCACGTCCACTGCCGCAACCTCATAAAGAATTCTATTTAGTGGGCGACCCCCAAGAGTACTTCCTTAACCTCTTCCCCAACCTTCCTGTCGAAGTACACAGGATTGTTAGGTCATGTAATTGGAAAGAACGACCTAAACTTAAGGAATACTTCTGATTGCAAACATGAAAGACAAATCCTAGCTAGCATGTTATTATATCAGGATGTTTTCGCACTTTCGGTTTTTGGCTCAGTATCGTATACAAGCGCAATTTATATATGCAGGCCAAGCATCATAAAATCCATAGAAATGATAGATAAAGAATGTATATATACTTGATCAGGAATCATGTCTCAACTTTTTCTCATGCATGCGTCCCTTTAAAAAGCTGCCATATTGAGTTTGACTAGGAGTGAAACTTGGAAGTATAGCAAAGCTAGGAGCCTAGGACTATCGCCCGTATTCTAAAAGCTCACTCGCACTCAATGAGTGGAGGTTCAATCTGAGCTTCTCTTGAGTATCAACGCTGTTTTTGAATAGCTGGAGGGTTAGTGTCGTACCTTACTATGTGACTACTCACCCTCCAGCTATTCAAAAACAGCATTGACACTCAAGAGAAGCTCAGATTGAACCTCCACTCATTGAGTGTGAGCGAGCTTTT